AAATTATTTTTCAAGAAGATGCTCATCCAGACCTGCCAATTTCTAACCCCGGGAAGGCTGTCATCTGCCTCTTGTCATCCTACCTTGTGGCCTGGGCTGGGGCTCCCTCTGTTTGCTGGGTTGGGAAGCTCTTCAGCAGGGCTATCCGCACACCTTGGGGGCACTGAGGAGCTCCCTGCCAGGCTCGGGCATGGAGGAGCTGCACAGGCTGTGGAGGAGAGCCCAAAGATGGCTGACTCCCAGGCTGCTAGGCCTGCTGCATGACCTCAGGTGAAGGTAGAGGGGCCTGGCACTGGCTCCAGCAGCTCTCCTTGCTGGCTTGGAAATCTGGGGAAGCACCACCTGTCCCAGATGGCTCCCTGCTCTGCTCCAGGGCTTTGGTGTCTGCTGCCTCCGTAGGAGCTCATCGCACAGCCTTTAGGCCCCAGCCAGCATGCTCAGCTCCAGCCTTGCTGGCTCCTTGCCAGTCCCCACTGCAGCACCGGTGGCTGACCTGTGAGTCAGCATGCTGGGCAGCGAAGGGACTGCAGTACACGGGCTTGGAGTGGAGGCCTGCTGGGGGATAGCCAGGCCACAGGAAAGGTGAGGGGCTCAGGGCCCAAGGATCCCTGAAAGGGAGGGGCTGGGGGGTGCCAAGCAGCAGCGAGTGCCTGAGCTTGTAGTGGCCAACCCTGGGGGTGCAGTGGGACAGACAGGGACAGGTGCACAGCGGCCATCATCCCAGCGGTGTTCCGGGCCTGGGAGTGCACGTCACAGGACCCACAGCAGCAAGCTGTGTGGGACTAGACTGCACCGCTCCTGCAGAGCTCTCTTACTCACCCTGGCCTGAGGACTCCTTGGCCACACAAGGGAGCTTTAAAACGGGAGCTCCCTGATAAACGCAGCTGCTTTCATGGAGCTCGTGCCCTGCAGGCTGCAGCTGGCACAGAGGTGGTGACAACCAGAATTGTTCCCAAGTGCTATGAGGTGCCCTGAGCTTTTTGGGGTCTCTGTGGTTAGGATTCAGCTCTGCAGCCAGACTGCCAGGACTGGAGCCCTTCTCACTGCTTACCAGCCATGTGGCTTAGGTTAGGCAGGTCCCTTACTATCTTGGTTTCCTCGGTTTAGGAAATCATCAGGAGATGTGGGAAGGTTGAATAAACCCAGCCATAGACAGCACAAAAGGGTGGGCCTCAGCCAGTCCCAGGTGTTGGGCACCTTTACCCCCTCTTCCCACATGTTAAATGCAGAGGAAGCTGCTCTGAGAACTTTCACCCAGAAACTCTGTCAGCTGTCACATGGGAAAGGGAAGCCCATGGGGAGGGAGGGTGAGGAGGGGGGCACAGCTGCAAGCTGAATGCCATTCTCCCAAGGGAGCACCACCCTCGAGAGTGCATGCTGAGGGCCTCACACCCTGTGCCACACACGGTCAGGTCATAGAGACTTTGCACGGCTGAAGGTCTCTGTGGTCAGAGGGCCTTGGGAACAAGACAAGCAGGGGACGCCTGGTGTTGCACTAGCATGAAATTGGGGTGCAGACATGTGCTTCCCTCACCTGAGTGCACAGAGTGCAAAGGAAGGGGGCAGGCAAGACAGAGCGCTGGTTATGGCTGAGAACACACTGGGCACTGCCCTCCCTAGTGACCTCCTTCGGCCTGCTGAGACCTGGGCCCCTTCTCTTCACTCACCGCTAGTGCTGGGCCTGCTATCCGAGGCATTTGGATGTAAGAGCATCTTTCTCTGCCTTTTTGAAAAAGAGCCCAAAATGGTATAAACCAGCCCCTCAAAACGAATGTCTGTAAACAGCTAAAATGAACTTAGCTGAAATCCAGGGCTAAAGTAAATAGTGATCTCCATGGAAATGGGGCACCAGAAGTTGGGGGTCAGTCATGTTAGGTTCTCCCTGGGAGCCCTGTGTGTGCGTGCACCAGCGTGACAGTGCATGCACAGTGGTAGAGGCCTGGGGGAGGCCCACTTGGTTTCCCAGCATCTTTCCTGTTTCCGTGCGAACCCCTTGCCTCATATGCCCTTTTCTGCCTCTCCTCGTCCACCTGGCAACAGTAACCACTCTTGGAGTTTTATATGGGGTATTAGCCCCTCTCTGACCATTGTCTCCGCCACACGCCTCCTGGGTACTGAGAGCCGCCTGCAGCCCAGCAGGCTTGTCTGGGGAGGAGGATGCATTAGGTGACGTCAAAGGCTCTCCCCAAGGGGAGCAGTGGAACTGCCCTGAGTTGACGGGACAGTGGGGGTGGGGAAGCCCCTCTGATGCTGCGGATACCTAGAGGAGGGCGCAGACCTGTGGGCGGCACAGCCGACAGCCCCCTGCCCACGGATCTTCTCTGTACAGTAAGCCTCAACTTCAGATAAATGTTCTGGAACAATCAAAATGCTTTGAAATGACTCCTGAGTGTTTATTTCCTTTTGTGTTAATGGGCAGAGGCTTTAGCTGCAATTAACATCCAGCTGGTAGGAGCCAGACTCTCTGGAAAGGCTGATGTTTTCAATGCAGAGAGCTTATGCATGCTGATTCCTATCACCAACTGCCTTCCCTGGCATGATAAGAACCATTCTTACATGGATTCGTGGCTTTGGTTTTACAGCCTTTTGCTGTCTGCATCTCTGAAAACTGCAGGGTGGTGAGAGTGAGCCCCGCAACCTCCCTCAGAGGCACAAACAAAGAGCTGCCTCTCTCCACGGAGAGCGTGGGCCTGTTTGCTGGCTCAGGAAGGGCTGTGGGGACTGAGACCAAGCAGTGGGACGGGTGCCTGTGCAGGGCCCTGGGCTTCCCTCCCCGGAAGAGGGGACATGTTTTGTCATAGAGTAGTGGCTGCTAGGCCTTTGTCCTCTGATGGACTGGGTTTGAAGCTAACGCTTCTTCCAGGTGCAACAGGCCTGGGGGGAAAGGCAGCGAGACTCACTCAGAAACAAGGGCCTGACTGCAGGCAGGTCCCGTCTCCATTTCAGACTCTGGGCAGGCCTCACACCTCCTCAGGCTCCCAGATGCACCCCAGCTTTTACCTAGGTGTGCCCTCACATGAGGGCCTGCTCGGAACCACAGAGCAGATCTTATCCTGCCAGGTATTTTTGTCACAATTGCTTTCTCAGTTTGCTGGGTTCTAATTAAAACTGTGAAACTCCTGGGTGTGCCCCACGGCATGTGTGGGATGAGAGAGACCCAGGGTGGACCTGCTGAGGGACATACAGGACATCTGGCCCACTTCCCCATCGCTTTGTTAACTTGAGGGCATTGTGTTTGCGAGGGAGGGTCTCAGGACTGAGCTCTGCTTCTTGGCAGCATCACATTTTGGCGTCTCAGAGAGAAAATTCACATTTTTACTCTCTAGGTTGAGTCCCCTCTGTTCTCTGATGCCAGGTGATGGTTTGGGTCTAGGACCTGATGCTGCCCAGTCTTGAAAGTGGCTTTAGCCTTAAAAGACAGCTGGGAGCGTGTCTTTAAGCCGTGGGCGTGACTGGGAAACACTATTTATAGCATTAGGAGCATGATTCTGTTGTGTGCACTACACAGTGATTCCCCAAGAGGTTGCTCCAGGCGGCAGGTAGTTTTCAGGTTTCCACAGGACATCCAGGGGTTGTCAGAGGCATATGGCTCCTGGAGCCCCTCTCCCTGCAGCCCACTCCTGGGCCCAGAAAGTAGTAAGGCCCTCTTCCAGCTTCAGTCTCACAAACATGCTCCCAGCCAGGTAGGGTACGTGTCATTACACCAGTTTTCACATCCTAACCTAGAACCCTATATGTGCCCCATTAAGTGGATGGACCCTGCTTTTATCATCATCAGCCAACCAGGGGTTTGGAGTTGCAGGGACACCAAGTCAGCATTGACATTGCATTCTGCCCTAAAGCTGTGTCCCCATCTTCAGTAGAGGCACACCTGGACCCTTGCCAAAGGCCTCTTGGCCATGTGTGGCCCTGGGCGTTGGCCTTTACTACCTCTGTTCCAGCTTCCTGTGACAGAACACACCAAACAGAAGCTACAACCGCTAAAAGCCAGGGATCTCTAGAGACCTTCTGCATTCAGGAAGATGCCAGAGGCTTTGGTTTGGAGAGCTGGACTCTACGGCTGTTCCTGAAGGAGCTCTGTAGTGAGTGTGAGCGTCACGTGGCATGATTGCTGATGGTGCTTCTTTCCACTGTCAGGGTGCCCCAGTTACAAGTGTCTGGTCACCATTATGCTTGAGCAGTCTGCAACACGGCCAGAGCTGTCTTATTCCTACTCTTGTATTTACAGAGACCTGTAAAGCCAGCTTCTGGCCCCTCTGCTAATGAGTGCTGGCCTTGGCCAGATGCTGCAGGTAGGCAGAAAGGACGTGTCCTGGCATTCAAGAAAAGGAGCTGGTTTTATAAAGGTGGAAAATGGCGATCGCAAGCAATAAAGTGGAGATCAGAGGGTCAGAGGTGCTCTGGACACCTAGGTAGAGCCACCCTCCGACTCCCCACTGTGCTCTGCGAGGCGCTCCAACCACCGCGCAGAGGGCTAAGTGACCGTAGGCTAACTTGGTACTGCGTTTCTTGCTGCTAGCAGAATGGGTGTCCAGAGGCTGGGGAGCATTGCCCTTCTCTAAAGTTTTGAGAGTGTTTCCCTGCCCAGGGGATTTTGTAGCTTTATCAGGTGTCCAAGACAACTAACAACAGACTTGACATCTCCACTTAGACACAGTTCCAGAACGTACTAAAATTTTGCAATCATGAGGGGACAAAGGCTATAACCATGGTGACCCGGGAGAACACAGCCCCCCCACAGGACACGGGAGGAATCAGCGGTGCTTCTGACCGCCTGCACTCCGACAGGCGAATGACCGCAGGGCAGTGGCCGCGGTCTGGCTGTGGGGTTGGGTGGCCGGTGGCGGCTCCATTAATGGGCAGGGGACAACGCCCCCACCCCAAGGGGGCAGCGCCGCGGACATCTCTCCCCACCTCCCAAGAGGACAGCGCCCCGGCCCCAAGGGGGCAGCGCCTGGGCGGGACCGAGGAAGCCAACCCCGCGCTCGGCACGCACTCACCGGGTCGCTGGGCCTGGGGCACGCAGTCGCCGCCTCGCGCAATTCGGGGCCGGAGGAGGCGGTGGGGCGCACAGCGCGCAGCGCGGGCCTGTGTACACACGTGACCGCCGCTCCGCCCGGCAGGCCCCGCCTCCGGCTCGGCAGCCCCGCCCCCGTCTGGACTAGACTCCGGCCGGGGCGCGCCTGTGTCCGGAGGTCGCTGTGAGGGTGGCGGCCCCCCAGGGCGCGCGTTCTTGCTGAGTCAGGGGCGCGCTAATCTGTCCGCGCACACCCGCCACCGCCTCGCTTCCGTGGGTAATCGGGGCCGCCCGATGCACCTGCTCCCCTTGCCAGCGAGCTTGCTGTTCCCGTGTTCACCCTCTGCTTCCTGTTGATAGGAGTTTCTTTGTAAACTCAACTGGCCGCAGGAAAACCACTTAAAGACTGCATTATTTGCAGCCTTGTTAGTCTCGTAGCTGTTATAAGTGTTGAGAAAGTTTAAAGAACAAGGTCATTTATTCTGTAATTCTTGCGGTGTAATACTGCCTTAAGCAGCACATTCTGGGGCAGAATCCAAAAACATTTCTTTCGAAAATTGCAGTACGCCAGTTGCAGTTTCATGTGTGAGCAGGGTTGAGTGGAGTAACAACGAGGATAGCAACAAGGCTGCCGCCCGTCCCAGGGACAGCTTCCCACCGCGGATTGGAAAGGGGACTCCGGGGGCACATGCCTGTGGCTGAGGGCAGGGCAGAGCCTCATTCCCTCCTGGACCCCCAGCAGCCCCTTGACCATTTTGTCATTACCTGAACTTCTCTGTCCCCCACCTTTGTAGTTGCAGTCTTTGTAATGGTGGGCTTTTGGCAATGGGCCACATTTGTCCCAAGGCCAAGACTGGTCACAGGTAGCCAGCACTGATGTCCGGCAGCCCAGGGGACTGACTCCGCCAGCTTGTGCTCCAGTTCCTCAGAACCTTTCGAGGCATGTGCTCCCATACTTCATCAAACCCAGGACACCCTTAGTGCTTCGTACACTGTTACTACGTGGACCACTGAAAAGAAAGCTCTGACAATTACATTCTGACCTGTCACTTGTAAGAAGCATCCTGACTTTAGAGATGTTCAAAGGAGGAACAGTGTGTCTTAGCATCAGTGAAATACGTATTTTCCTCATTTTAAATTTGATTGAGGCTCAAAAAATTTAAGCAACTTGCCCACCGTCATACAGCAGATACTAGAACCAGGATATGAATCTGGGGTCTTTGGCCCTAGATCAGGGCTTGGGACTGTGGGTTCTCCTAGCAATCTGCCTAAGTACTGCTACCTTCTCTGTGTGATTGGCCTCAGACCCCAGAGATCCTGGTCCGAGTCCCAGGAATGCCAGGCTTAAAGAAGTCTGCCCACAGGGTGCTCTGCAGCCAGTTGTAACCAGGGAAAGTGGACATTCAGCTCCACATAAGCCACTTAGTGCTTCCTCTGCCAAGTGGGCACACAGAGTTAGGAAGAGCAACTGACAGTTGGTGTGTGTCAGGGCCAGCCTCAAAGTGAGCCTGACCTGCAGCTGAATCGGAACCGGCATTCCATATCTGGGTAACGTAGGTATGCCCCAGAGGGCTGCAACTTGTACCTAGCTGAACCTTGCTGCTAGCTGCTCCCCATGTGGTCGACCACTCCTGTGCAAGACCTTGATGTCTGTGGGGACAGCACCACCATCCTGGGCAGACATGGGACTGGGGTGTAGGAACTGCGTGAAGCTGGGCCCTATCCCCGGGTTCCTGACTGCATCATAGTTTGGTGTTGAGTTTTAAAAACCGCGTGACTTGGCTTCTCCCTTTTGTTGCCAGTGGCGCTCCTGAACCCAGGCCTGTGCACTGCTGCCCTCTGCAGCCCAGTGCTCTGTGAGGCTAAGGGCATGCCTCTCCAGGGGTACAGAAACATCATTTTTGCCCTTTGCTTACCAGTCTTGAAGCTTGGCAGGTTTTCCTGTTATTTTGGCATGGCGTTTGGTAAGATCAGCTGCACTCTATATGAGGGGGACTCTGGACTGCTGGTCGGGGACTTGGCAGTGGCCTGCTCCAGAGTCTGTTTGCATTTGGTCTTTCTCTTGGGGGTTGGGGAGGGTAACATGGAGGGTTACAGCTGCAGCTGCCCTAGCTAATAAGGGAAGATGATATTCCTTTTGAAAATGCACCTTCTTTTAGTAGTTCAGCGCCTATAGGGTAAGTTTGATCTTACGTGACATGCTGAGGGACAGGAATGTTTAATCTATGAGTTCTTGGGAGTCTGGTTTAGAGTAAGGTTATATATTTTGACCTCCCTGTGGCTCTGTTAATATAACAGTGTTCAGGGCCCCAGTACATTGTGGTAGACTGTGAAGAGCAAGCGTGGAGGGCTTGCTAAGTGACCACTTTCTGCCATAGAGGAGCCGGCGTCACTTGGAAGCCCTTGGTATCATTGTAAGGGATAGTTTCCCCCATGGCCATCTGGTTCATAGGTAGTGAAGAACTGGGGTGATAACAGTGGACACTTTTCAGCAGGATTGTTTTCTAGAAGCTGGAAATGTGGCAGAAAATGGTCATGGGGGTCTGATAGAATAGCAAGTTTTTTGACGCATGGAGATTTGCTTCAACAGGCCCCTTCCCAAGCAGTCACTATGCCCCCAAAGTCAAAGAACAACTGAATGTTACTAAAGGTGCTCCGCTCCAGTTATTATGTTTTTATCTATGTCTGTATTTTATACTATATACACATAAAATATATCTAATGTTAACCTTAAAAATAACAGCCAGATGTTTTCCCAGCAAAATGGGTTTATTTCCCAATGGCAGAGGGATTACAACTGGATTCCCCAAACCATGGGGAACTACAGGCAAGCCCCCTCACCCCCCTCCCACCGTCTACAGCGGAGGGGGAGCTGGGCGGGGCTGCTTTGCACAAGAGCCCATTGGAGGAGACCAGGAGTGGCAGCTTCCCATTGGCAGGGCTGTTGCCAGGGCAGAGGAAACCTTCCTCTCTGGGTAGCAAAGTGTGCTTCTTGGTGTGGGTCTGCAATTGCCAGACTGGTGGGCACAGAGCTGCCCCGCTGGCCTCCAACGGCCCCTCCCTCATCTCCCAGCATCATGTTGGAGCTGCTGCTGAAGGATTTGAATCTGGAAAAAGGGTGCCGTATGGGGTTCCATCTGAATCACTGGTGTGAGGGGACAATGGAAAAAGGCACAACTGTGGAATGCTAGGATTCACTAATTGTCAGCTTCTGCATACAGTGGAAGTTCTCCATGCCAACAAGAAGACAGGGAGTGACACAGGGAGCAGCACATTCCTGTGGTACCAAGACAGCCAGGTAGCTGGGTCTCTCCACCCTCCTTGTCTTCCCTGCTCCTGCTGGGATGCACACTTGCCCAGCAACTCCCATCACCAATAGAGGGAACCTGCTTCACTCTTTGGTGAACCTGGGGCTCAGTGACCAGGTAGCAAAGCACCCTTTCCTCAGCTGCCCTCACATGCTCAGCACCTTGTCCAGTGTGGAAGCCTGTTAGTCTGCTTCCAGAATTAGTGTGCTGCCCATAATTAGGAGCTCACATGCGTGTGATTCAGCATGGATGCAGTAAAGCTATGGTTAGGAGAAGAACGAGAATTTTTATTTGTCCTGGGAGTTTGTTTCTCTTCTTAAACCTTTAATCAGCGTTAAAAATAGTGCGCCTGCATGGGTGCCATCAGGTGAGAAATTGGGGCTCAACAGAGGTGAGACTTAGAACCTCACCCCCCTGTTTTGAGAGAAATCTTCTGCATCCGTGGATGTTTTGTTGCCCTTGTCTAGCTTAGATTAATACTTAGCTTATAGGCACACACCTGATTGTCTACATTTGCTTTCTTACAGCACTAAACTATGTTTTCTACCTTTATCTTGCATCTACCTACCACTTCAGCATTTTATTTAAAATAATAATAATAATAATAATAATAATAATAATAATAATAAGGGAGAAATGTGGGATTCACATATAAATCAAGTATAAAAATCAAATGAATATTCATATTTGACCTGATTGTTTATAGTTCATAATGCATGATCAAAACCGAAAGCTTCTGTGACGACTGCCCTTGTACTGTTCACCATATAAGAACTTATTCACTATGTAAGAATTTGTACACCATGTAAGAACTTGTTCATTGTGCTTCAGAAAATCCGAGACTGATGAGAATTAGACTTGGGGTGGATTAATGATTGTGCATTGAGTCCCCTGTACAGAATTTTATTGTTGTTAACCCTTAACAACCATTTGATCAATAAATATGAGAGATGCTCTCTCAAAAAATAAATGAATGAATGAATGAATGAATAATAAAAATAAAAATCATACCTGGATAAAAAATAAATAAATAAATAAATAAAATTAGTGCTCCTGGAAGCACTTCCTTGACAGAGTAGGGGTGGAGTGGGGTCGGTGCCTACACTGTTTTCTCAGCCTGCAGGGATGTCTTAGTTTCAGTGTCCCCATGCATTTGCTGGCCCTTGCCCTTAGGATGTGCACTGCTGTCTTTTGCCGAAGAAGCTCTGAGCGCAAAAGCCAGAGGCCAGCCATTCCCATAACAATGAAGGACCCCAGACCCCAGATCTGGCCAAGCTGAGTGGGGAATGCAGTCCATGATATGTCATTGTGTCCTGATGGAGGCATCAGAGATTGAGGGGGGGGCAGCATCCCAAGGATTAAACAAGATAGCATAAGTGAGAACACAGTACAGAGGCCATGGTAGTGTTGTCTAGCAGCTGTGTCTAGGGAGGTCTCTCCCTGCCTACCAGCTTAAACATCAAGCTGAACAGGGGAGGATTCTTGACTCTGAAGGAGAAAGAATTCTCTCATACAGGTAAGGAAGGAATTCATTAAAGCAAGAGTAATAGTGAATAGCAGCAGCCATGCAGGCTGCAGAGAACAAGGATAAGCAAAGAGAAGAAAGCATAGGACAGGTCCCCTGCCAACTTCTGAAGCCAGGATCACCTGGTGTCTAGTGTCCTCTGGAATCTTCACAGCATAGGAACTAAACCCCTATCACCCCAGGATTTGGGGTAGCCGCAGAGCACTGGATGGAGTGAGATTATGTTCTAGGAACTTCCCAAAGGCAAAGAAAGGAGATTTCGGGCAGGCTGTTACAGGACATGATTGTACAGCTGCAGTCCTGTCCAGGTCACCCAGGCGATGGTCAAGCCCAACTCAGAGATTTCAGTAGCCCTTTCCTACTTGGAAAGTAGAACTGAAGTAGGACAGAGTGAAGACATGCTTAAGTTTGGAGAAGAGAATGAAATAGAGTAACAAAGACACTACTAGAAGAGCACAGAAAGAAACACAATTATGAGCAGTGAGAAGTCTTTAATTAAGGCAAACAGTACCTTGAGGAAAGGGGAGTGCGGGCAACCTGAGAGAGGAGGTGTACTTAAGGGCTTAGGATTCTGTCTTTTAAGGCTCTTAAAAATGGGGCAAAGGGCAGGGGCAGGGGAGGTGCATAGGCTCGACGTGTGGTCTTATGATGTCTATCTCTGGTGAGGGACATTATGTCACCATCCATAGTCTTCTAGATAATTCTGTAAGATAAACTTAACACAAGAAATTTATTGATCCTGTTCTCCAAGGTAGTGGTTACCTTCAAGCAGTGGGGACATACCATTTAGGACTGCTCCCCCTGCCTTAAGATAGATTGTTGGCTAATTACCAAAAATATGTTAGAAATCATATACCTCCTAATTCCCTGATTTTTAAAATGGAATCTTAGCCTTAAGATAGAGCCCTTCCTGTTCTTACTATACTGTTTATATCTTGGCATTTTTTATCATAGGCAGGGAAAGTTCATCATGATGCTTGTCCATGTCCCTGCCCTACCTCAGTAGTGGCCAGGCATGTCCCCACCCTGCTCCCTGCCTTCTCTTCCTCCATCCAGCTCTGGTGAAGGTCTCTGCAGTCCCTAGGTGCCTGCCCCCACTGCCACTATTGCACAAACCTGTGTGTGAACCAGCCTACAGTAGAGGTGAAACGGCCAAGAGGAGAAACACAAAAGATGTAGTGTTAGCTCTGTGACCCTGGAGATCCTTATCAGGCTGGGCAGTTGGGACCCCACACCCACCAGCTGGTGCACAGTGGGCAGCAAAAGAAGAAACGGCATCTGGAGCATGCCTCAGTAGCCAGAGGAGAGAGTGTCCCAGACGCCTGCTGTCTGACCTTTGCCAGAGGTGCATGAGACAAACCCTCCCCCCACCAGAGCCACTGTTGGCCCTGGGGTGGATTTGATAGCCCCCTGCTGCTGGAGTGTGGTTTTTCTTTGAATCGTAAAATGGACCTGCAGTCTTGTCTTAGGGGAGGGAACTAGGCCCTAGAAGAGGTCTAAGGTGTTGGCGTGGTAGCTGTGGGCCTCCTTCCTTGCAGTAGTCCCTACTGAGGGCCTGCTATTTGCTGTAGATGTCACCACAGTGCTGAGCGCGCGCAGCACTGCCCTTGTGGAACTCACGGTCTGGGTGGGGTCTGAGCATTAACCGTGGACCACCGCGGGTGTATGTCACCACGGGAGGAAGTTCGAGGGGCCACGGTATGGGGAGGGGGCTCAGGAGGTGAAGCTGAAGTTTCCTCGAAGCAGACGATTGACTTAAGACCTGAAGGGAAGAGGAGTGCTCCAGGAAAAGGAAGAGCCGTTGGCCTGCAGAGGCCCTGTGGGGAGACAGCAGACGGGGCTCCTGGAAGCTAGGGTCCCCTTGCAGGTGGTGGTGTGGGGGCGGGGACAGCACTCAGGGCCAAAGCCTGCCGGTCAGAGTAGGCCTGTATTACGGTTGGAGAACAGGGTTGGGGGTGGGGGGAAGGGGTGTTGCACCAGGTGGCCTTCTGCCTCCCTTGTGGGGCAGCTGCTAGGGAGCCAGGGCACCGCAGACCCCTGAGCGTCGTCTCTGCGTGCCACTTGGCCGCCCAGCTGCGGACGGAGAAATTTCCCTGAGCCTCCGTTTCGTCTTCGAAACAACCTCGTTAGAGGGCTAGCCTGGCTCAACCGGCGCGTCTCCGCCGGCGACGGGCGTCTCCCGGGAGCCCGCGCAGGCCCGGGTGGGGACGGTGGCCGTGAGAGCGCGCCGAGGGCCCCGCCCACGGCGAGAGGGCCGGCGCGCGTGCGTCACTGCCCAGCCGGCTGGATCCGGTTCCAGCCGAGCCGGGCAGACCTGACATGCGCAGTGCGGGCGGGCGCCGGCGGTGGACGCGGAGATCGGTGTGCACTGGGACCGAGTTGGGCCGCGTGCGACGGTGACCCCGGGCCCCGAGGGCGGGCCGTCGCCTCCGGTGGCTGCCCGGCGCTCGCGGCCGCAGTACCGGGGCGGGGTGAGCCGTGAGCTGCTGCTGCGGTGGCGGCCCTGCCTGCCCGCGACGGCCGGGCGGTCCGAGAAGCGCTCGCGAGGCGAGCCGCGCAGGGTCCCCGCCTTGCCCTTGTGACGCTATGCGGCTGTGAGTAGCTGTTACTTGGCAGTGGGCCTTTGTAAAAACTTACCGCGTGCACGCTGGAGTGCCGGCGGTGTGGGAGAGGCCTGACCCACAGGTAGTTCCCCGGTGTGATGAAACCATCTTGAAAATCGCATTTCGCTGCCTGCGAGGTGGGCGGTGACGGTGTATTTGTCTGGGGCCTGCGGTTCCTCAGCGGGTAGCCAGTGCTGCGTTCTGCTGTGGTTTCCCTTAGCTCACACGTGCGGCCCCAGGCCCCGTTATCTAGGGGTGAAGGTGGGACAGGAAGGCCCCGGAGGACAGTTCAGCTCTGGGCATCCACTAAGTACCCAAAGTCACGAGTTCTCCAGACAGCACAGGGCGCCGCAGCTGCTGTAAACGGTCCGCAGATCACCAGCTTGAAATCTTGAGCCAAACCGTTGTTTTATTTGAGGGGAGCAAGTGCTGGCGTGTCTTCCCCAGCAGCTGAGGAGAGCGTGCAGAGGGAGATGTGTTTGCAGCTTTGGGTCATTAGGAATCTCGTCTTTATCAGGGTCATGAGTTCACTGATGATTTAAGTCAGGCACACCTGTCGGCTAATTTTTTGGAAGTTGCTGAGTAGTACGTTTTGTGTGTGTTAAATGTTATTTCTAGACTCTTTTACAACTCCAGGACTTAGTATTCCACTTAAGTCCATCTGCCGGCCAGAGCTGCATTTCCAGATTCCGGATGAAAAATAAAATGCAGCCTCAGTTCCTGGCCAGTTGCCTGTTTCACACAGGAAGTGGATGAAGGCCAATCAAAGTCCGGTTAGGAAGGAGATGGGCGTGGCTGGTGACCTGCAGAGCTCCCTGCCTCAGAAGCAGGGCTGTGACTGACTACAAGTCATCACTTGTGCCTAGAAGCCATAATGGTGACGTTCCCCATCTGGCTGTTGACCCCGCATAATGCACTTGTGCTCCAAGCCTTTGTGTCGTGCTAGTAACGGAAGAAACAGGGAGGGCTGTAAATCACAGTATGCATATGCCTCAAATCAGATGAGGGCCTACGCGTGGATACCCAAAGACCACATGTAGGGGAGCTGCCCAAGGCCTGTTTGCTTCCTGGGATATGGGTGAAATCAGCCCAGAGGCTCAACTGAGATTCTGGGGGACAGTGAGGGCCAGTGGCACAGATGATGGGGCTTGATGGCCTTTGGCATCAAGAGGTCCAGGAAGACCAACCTTGGGGTTAGGATACCTAATTCACGTCTCAGCTCCTGCTCAGTAGGCAGCCATTTCCCTTCTGGATGGCTGTGCCCACACTCCCTCTGCAGCTGTAACATGCTGTGAGGTCCCCTGACTCAGGTGGTGTCCTGGGGGTATTGTCTCCCATGCCTGGCTGGTGGGAAACCTCAATGGGAAGGCCAGGCAGTCTCTTCAGACTTCCTGTTCCCAAAGGCCATGAAGACTGGGTGTGAGAGAGTAAGCTTCCCACAGAGACTCCACTGACACTCCTATAAATGCAGAGGCAGTAGGGGAGTCTGTCCAGAAGTGGAAACGCTGCCAGACGCTAAGTAGGTCTCTGGCCTCAGATAAGCTTCACTTCCTGGCCTGCACCTCCCCTGTACTCTGCATTCTGTGATCTTTCCGGGGACCTCAGGCCCTGACGACTGCCCCTGCTCCCCGGCACATGAGCTTGCCAGCTGCTGGGGCTTTGGAGTCAGTCTGCACCCGGCACTCTGCCAGTCTGCATGGACCCCACAGTTGACATCTGAGCGTGTGCCCTGTGAGCTATGCCAAAGCCAGGTGCTCCTCCTCCCCTCAACCCCATCTCCCTGCCAGAGTCACACACTCCTGGCAGCTCTCCACACACCCTTCTCCACAGGCCTCCCTTTGCTCAGCTGCATGCCTCTCCTGCGCTGTTCCTGGTGGCCCCAGCTCTGAGGCCGAACCTCAGAGCTCTTCACTGTGTTCCCTGAGTCACTGGGCTCTCGATGTGCCTTGGACGGCTGGCCCAGATAATGCTCTGATGGAGGAGGACTGGGGTTGCTGAGCTTCCGCAGCGCTCCAGGGCTGACTGGCCAGTCCTGACGGCTCACTACACTGCAGCTGCAGGAGGCTGGCTCCTGTCAGAAGGACTGGCTGCCAGCTGGTTCCTCTTGCTTGCAAAGTAAGAAGGGTTCCAGACATCTGCCTTTTGGCTCCCCATGTCAGTCACTAATCCCATGGGCACCCGATCTGCACCTTCCTTCCCTCGGGTGGGGCGTGAGTACTTTCCCCAGCTCACAGCCTCTGAGGAGAGCCCAGGGGTCTTTCTGCACCTGCCTCCTTTCCTGCAAAGCCCCAGCCTGTCTGTGTTCCTTATATCTGTACCTCCATGTGTCCGCTGCCACTGTACCGTGAGCCCTCCAGGGACAGGACAGGATGTACTGTGCCTGAACGCAGGGGTGAGCAGCCTGTGAAACAGCAAGGCGTGGCCCAGATAGAAATAGCAACTTGCAGTGTCATAACACTGTTCCCAGAAACCCAGTCTGATCTTTGTGAAAAGCGGTCTGTCCCGAGGCAGTCAAACCAGTCTGCCTCCTCCCCGGAAGCGTTCTTGGCAGGGGGCACTGCTGTCCGCAGAGCCCTTTGTGCAGATGCCTGTGGACAGTGTAGGGCAGAGGGTGTCCTGTCCCTCACCCTTACCCTGCAGGCATGGGGTGGGCAGAGGGGCCATCCTTGCTGGCTCAGGACCACCTGTTCCTGAGAACTTAGAAGCTGATCACAGCACAGCCTCAGGAGAGCTGTACAGTACTGACGTCCATCAGGCTGAGCTCCATGGGACCTCTAAGAGGTTTTGTAGGGCTGGTCATCTCCCACCTGGCTACAGGACACAGATCTGTACATCAGCATTTCTGGCTTTTCCAAGCAACTGGCTATTATCAAACTTGCCTCAAGCCACAAACTCTCCTTTAAATCCTTGGGTTAAAAGACAGGCAAGAATGGAAGTCAGGCTTTGGTGTTTCTCCTGAAGTTCAGCCTGGCTGCCATAGGACTCTGGCCTTGCCGTCTCCCACAGCTTGTGGTTTCCCAGTTCTTGGGGTGTTTGCCTCCCTGCCCTGCTGGGCACAGAGCTGCACTGTGGGGCCTTCGCTTGGAAGCCCCAGGCTTCTACGGGGTGGGGGGAGGTAAGCCCCACTGTCAGCCAAGGCCATGAGATTGGAAGAAGATGGCTGTGGAGGACCCACCCCAGAGCACTGGCCTGTCCTGCAGGCCCCATCCCAGCCCTCCTTTCCCTGTGCTTGGCTGTAGGCAGAGCCCCCCATCTCATCTGAACTGGGGAGGCTGGAGCCTTTGACAGGTGTGCTGGTGTGTGTTTCTGGGAAGGGGGTTCGGAAGTTCTCATCCTGTTCCCCAAGGCCCAGATGGAACGAGCCTGAGCCCCTGGGTAGATTTGGATGAGGCAGAGCATTCTTTCTCGGAGGATCCTGTGGGGGCCCCATTGGAGAGCCTGGCCTCACAGGGCCGTGTGGTGTCAGAGCCCAGGGCTCTCAATTTCAGGGAATCTGAGCCTGGATGAGAAAGAAGCACTCAGTTTTCACTACCTCTGACTGAAATGTAGCATTTTCTTCCACTCTGAAAGTTGGCCACAGAGCGTGGGTGGCTTTGGTGGCACAAGACAGTGACAGCATCTCTGTGTTCCCTGCCTCAGCTCCTGCACTGTCAGGAGCTCATTAGACCTGCCACGGTGTATTACTGCCGCACAGTTGGTCTTTTTTATATTCTGATAGGTACTCCTATCAGAGTTTGAGCCCATGTGTCCTGTGTCATGCATTTAAAACCCCAAGGAGCCTACAGGCTGCACCACATTGCATAGTCCATGGAGTCGCCGGGCTGAGTGAGGAGGCCCTGCCCTGGACAGCCGCTCTGGACTGGGGCAGCCACGCTCCCTGTCCTCCAGGAGCTCACTTATATCTGGCTGTGAGCTCCTCGAGGCCAGAGCCCATGTCTGCCTTACTGTCAGCACCGCCAGGACCTCGGAGCCATTGCACCCACCCCACACAGCCTGCCACAGCAGGGTCCCACCATGTGGCTTGGCTGTGCAGTTTATAGAAGTGATCTGAGTTGTTGATGCATAAGTTTTAATTAGGATTTTACAAACAATGAAAGGGGGAAATTTTGTTCCTGTTCCATTCCTGTAGTAAGAGACAACTAAGTACATTCACGTTTGTCCAGCCAAACAGGCAGTGGTGAGGGGCGTTGGAAAAATCAGCCTTTGGGAATTGAGTTCAGAGGTCCATTCATCCTGTCCAGGCTCAAGCCCTGTGTTGCCTCTCGCAATGGCATGTGCATCTAGATACTCTAGAATAAAAGGTCTAATTAAAAAATTGTGGGAAATGCTCTTTTATTCATCATTTTTAGCAAATGAAAAAGTAATTTGCTCTCATGCGTTACAGTTTTAGTGATATGGTACTAAGTCTGATGAAGTTTTCTAGTCTTCATCCCAGAGTGGAACCTGAAGGTACACAGCTGGGGATGTGAATCCTGCCGTTGAGAACTGGAAGGAAGAGGGGGCTTTGCCTTGGACCAGCTTCCATTTTTCTGCTGCTCTGCTCTGGGCCTGGTCTCCAGCCTCTGCCAGAAGCTGGCTGATCGCCCCCTGCCTGCCGTCCAGCTGCAGTTGGTGAGAAACAGCACTGCCCACTTGCTGTGACAGTCAGGCCCCACTCCTCGAGGCTTGTACCCCAGGGTGACCTGACAAGCAGCCCATGCTCCTGGCTCCTGTGCCAGACCCTTTGTTGAAGCACCTTCGCAGCCACTGCCTGATAGC